TTTTTTCCACAAACAAGCCTCGAATCAAAGCACTCGGATCTGGCCCTTACTCGCCTCTAACCCGATCCTTCAGAGAGACCATTTTTCGCCCTCTGCCCCAGGATCCCTAGGCTTCAGGAGCGGGACGGATGAAAGAGCAGAGAGCGCAAAAGAATAGCCTCGGAGAGCGAGCGGCGGAGGAAGAGGAGCGACGCACAAAGTAGAGGCGGGAGATGGGTAAACAGGGCGTGTTTGCCTGGACAGAGAACGCGTTTTATCGTGAGATCCTCTGTGTGTGAATGAATATGCAGGTATAGGGCATTTGTGCTCGGTTATATATGTATACACACACACACACACTATATATATGTGTGTGTGTGTGTAAGCGCCGAACTGCGGTTGATAAGGAAGGGCATCCAATCAGGTAAGGGTGGTACTGCCCAATGACCTAGATCCTGCAGTGGAATAGATGGCTGTTGAACAAACAACATCCCTATATACATGTAAATATGTGTACACACACACACACACACCACACATATATATATATATATATAATACATATATATATATATATATATATATATACATACATATATATATATATAATATATACACATATATATATATATATATATATATATATATATATATATATATATGTGTGTGTGTGTGTGTGTGTGTTTATTATGTATGTATATATATGTATATATATACATATATATATATATATATATATATATATTATATATATATATATATATCTGTATATACATATCTATCCATACACATATCTATCTCTCTCTCTCTCTCTCTCTCTCTTTCTCTGTCTCTGTCTGTCTCTCTCTCTCTCTCTCTCTCTCTCTCTCTATATATATATATATATATATATATATATATATATATATATCAACCGTACTCATCGTCGACAAATGTATAAAAGGTATGAATAAGAATAAATATCTTAAAAATATATATCAATACAAGAAATTTATTAGACCGGTTTCGATCATATTGTGGAGGTCATTAAAACCTTACAACATCGACTCTACGAACTCTGAAACGAACTCGAGGGCGAAGACCTTCCCCATAGGCTGGTCCTTCAACTACAGCAGGAAGATCAAGCTCAACGAGTCAAACACAAGGCGAAATTAGACCGCATATGGATCACGAGCAGATGGACTGAAAGTGGACGAAGTGCTCTCAGAAACACGTCTTCTAAAACACCTGACTCACTTGGCATAAGAAGTCCTTGGCCTCAAGTTCAGCATCGGGCAAGGACTTAATCGACTACGATATCTCGAACCATCGCTGGTCCGAATTGCGAAGTCGACAAAGGGTTCGTCCAAGCGATTGCTGAATGGCTGATACGTCGTAACGCCCCCTGGCGATCCCACGCATATATATCACCGCGCTGAAGGGCCTCCGCGACGACGAGACCATGCCATCACCCAGGCTGACAAAGGTGGGGTATTATTGTTATGGATAAAAGTGATTATGTAAATGAACAGTTTACTTTCCGATGTTTCTGTTTATAAGAAAATAACGAAAGGTAAGGGGAAGATGGAAGCTAGCAGGTTCAAGAAGAAGGGATTTACTCCAGCGTTCAGTTGGAAGTAAACGCCTACTTCACGTAAACGTCCATGAGAGGTGTCCCGAAGGTATACACGCCAGGCGTACCAATGAAACCGATCGCCTCGCACTTGCCATCGATTGGCTAAAGTGTTTGGCTAAACCCCTCTCCAGCGCTATGGGGGTCATCAGTAATTCCCACAGGAAGAATTCCGGGGACCTCATCAGACGTCTTCAGAGTTCCGGATGCAAAAGTAAACAGCTTACCAGTTTTGACGTAAAATCCCTCTTTACCAATGTATCCACAGACGGACAGTCCGAGCAGTCGAGAGACAGATGCTGAACTTCGTTCGCCTAGTGAAGTTATGCGTGGGAAGATTAGATTACTGGTTAGCGAACATCGAGCTGACGTCCGTCACCACAGGACTTCCAACGTCTTGGTCGTACGTGTAGATTAAGCTAGACATCAACCGAAGAGAGCAGAAGTAACCCATGGAGGATTAAGGAAACAACGGAGAAAAATGGCACATCCAAATTATCCAAGGTCGCGGTAGCAATTAAGCGCATAACTAGTGGAAGGTGTTTCGTCAGCACATGTTTCATATATATATTTGTGTATATATATATATATATATATATATATATATACTCAGCAGTTTCTCTGATGTATTTCTGATGAAGATATAAACCGGTCAAATACATCTCTTGTATTGCGAAGATATTCATTTCTCATCCAAACCTTTTATACATATTATATATATATATATGTATATATATAAATATGTACATATTTATATGTATATATATATATATATATATATATATATATATATATATATATATATATATATATATATATATATATATTTCGATCTATTTATCTCTATCTATATTTGTCTATCTGTCTATCTATATACATATATACATATATATACATATATATATATAT